AGCCCTGGAGATGGCGCACTGGTTAAGCACTTGACTGCAAATGGATAGATAGTAGTTTGAGCCAACCAGCCCTTCCTGGGCGGGGGCAGGGCGGGGGTGGGATATGGCAGCCTGCTTCTGTACAGAAGTCGAGCTTTGGACACTGCGGGAGCAGTTCCCAAGGAACACTGGTGGGTACAACTGTTAAGCGCTCAGACGCTAATGGAAAGATCGATTGGCCGCTCAAACCCATCCAGAGGCTTTGCAGGTGAAAAACTTGCCAATCTCTTTCTGTAGAGTACAGCCAAGGAAACCCCATTAGACAGTTCCACTCTGCCGAGTGGGGTCCCTATGAGTCAGATCAGCTCCACAGCATCCAACATCCCTGTTTTCCAACCAAGCCAGGGTATCCAATAGACAAGTATAGATAGGATCCTGGAGTCCAGTAGAAAGTGCGTTAGCGTTTTAATTTGGGAGTTGGTGTATGACCTGATCAAGCCCTTTTCGGTTCACTATTTTGGGAGGAGCCCTGGCAGCAGGGTGGTAAAGTGCTGGGTTGGTCATTGAAAAGTCAGAGGGTTGGCCCAGCCAGCTTCTGGGGAAAGCTGGGGCAGCATGCTACCATAAAGACTGACAAAGTTAGCCACCCTACGGGGCAGTTCTCTCACACCCAAAACTCACTGTCATTGAGTCGATTCCAACCCACAGAGACCTTACAGGTGGAGTAGAACTGCCTCTGTGGGTTTTCAAGACTGTACATCTTTTTTTTTTAAATAGTTCATTATAATTTTGTAAAAGGCAGAACTAAAAAATGTAAAACACCATAAAGTCATAGGTACAGTAGCTGCATAAACCATCTTTGCTGCTTAGGAGACAGGAGTTACGTGAGACTTTCCCACCCACCACCCTCCTTTATGTCCATGGTTGAAAGCAGATCGTAACCTAGGATCTGTCAACATCTTCTGAACTGCAAATCTACGCCTGCCAATTTTCTTCCAGCAACGACAGAATGAAAAACCAGCCTCCAGTGCTATGAGAAGCCCCCCCAAAGAACAATGAAGTGATTTCCAACCCGGCAGCCTATTTCCTAGAAAGGGAAAAAGGGCTCCTTCAATGGGCTAAGGTTTCTTTTACTGCTCTTTCACTAAACACGTGTGCATTTATGCACGTAGCTTCTGAACAATATAGTCCATCTGTCCTCACATGAATGTGGAAAAAAAGAACATTTAAAATGATCGATGTCCAAAGGTTTCCAAGAAAAAATGAGCAGAATTGGCTTCTCTAGGAGAAAAAAAAAATCCCTTTTCTCACCTAAAAACGTGGATTTACATATGCAAAAATGCATAATAGTACAGAGACTGTGATGGTTTACTCACCGATGATTAACCCCGCGGATATCTTGCTGTATGCTTCTATATCACATAAAAGGTTTGATGGCAAAATCAGACCTTTGTTTAATCAGGAAATATG